AGAGACGAGGTTTCACCGTGTTGACCAGGCAGGTCTCGAACTCTTGTCCTCAAGTGATCTGCCCGCCCCAGCCTCCCAAAGTGCTGGGATTACAGGTGTGGGCCATTGTGCCTGGCTGCCTTTCCCGTTGCCCCTTTTAATGGTATAAAATTTTGGTTTTGTTTTTTTTTTGTTTTGTTTTGTTTTGTTTTTGAGACAGAGTCTCGCTCTCTCGCCCAGGCTGGAGTGCAGTGGCGCGATCTCGGCTCACTGCAAGCTCCGCCTCCCAGGTTCACGCCGTTCTCCTGCCTCAGGCTCCCGAGTAGCTGGGACTGCAGGCGCCCGCCACCACACCCGGCTAATTTTTTGTATTTTTTTAGTAGAGACGGGATTTCACCAGGTTAGCCAGGATGGTCTCGATCTCCTGACGTCCTGATCCACCCGTCTCGGCCTCCCAAACTGCTGGGATTACAGGCTTGAAAGTTTTGGTTTTGGAATGTGGAGTCACTTCAGGGGGAAGGAGAAGCTGTGGCCCTGGGTCATATAGGATGGTTCTGGCCCAGTGCCAGGGCTTCTCCATCCCTACCCTCCTCTTTCTCTCGAGACAGGACTACGCCGACACAGAGCTCCTGCTTTCCCGAGAAAATGTGGACCAGGAGGCTCTGCTCAGCTATGCCAGGGAGGCGGCAGACTTCTCCACCCAACAGCAGCTGCCGTCTCTGGATTTTGCCATCAATCACTATGGGCAGCCTGACGTGGCCATGTTTGACTTCACTTGTATGTATGCCTCCGAGAACGCCGCCTTGGTGCGGGAGCAGAACGGACACCAGTTACTAGTGGCTCTGGTCGGGGACAGCCTCCTAGAGGTGAGTGCTAAGCATGGCAGCGCTCTGTGGTGGGGGCAGGAATAATTAGGAGTGAATCTGGGCATCCTAGGTCTTGGAATGAGCGTCTGCAGTGTTGTACAGCACAGGTAAACCCCCTGCAGGAGTCACACCAGGAAGTAGGGGAGCGCTACAGGCCACTGGGAGCCCAGGCTTATTAAGTATGAATGGAAATTCTGCACCTTTTTTGACTTGCTCCCTACCAATCGGGGAAGCAGAGCAGTTTGTTATTGAAACAGTTGCCAAACGCTACTGTCAACAGCAAACTCTTTGTTCCCTAGTTTATTTTTCCTGTTTTGAAAGGTGTTTTATTTTTTTAATTCTTTGTTTTGTGTCTTATTTACAGCCTTTCTGGCCAATGGGAACAGGAATAGCCCGGGGCTTTCTAGCTGCTATGGACTCTGCCTGGATGGTCCGAAGTTGGTCTCTAGGAACAAGCCCTTTGGAAGTGCTGGCAGAGAGGTAATGGGAAGTAATCTGGGTTTCCTTTCATGAGAAAACTGGAAAGAAGGAGTGGTTTATTCTTCAGGCAGAGTGCAAGTTCTTCCTTCTCTTTCTGCTTTCTTAATTAAAGATGTTTTCATGTGGAAAAGAGGAAAGGCGAGATAGGATTTCATAAAGTCATAGAAACCTAAAGATGAGTCTCCTGGACTAAGTCTTCTCTTACTCCTTTCCAAGATAAATTTCTTACTGACAGAGAAGAAATTAAAAGTAGCTTTGAATTCAGAGGAAAAATGCCAAACTGCTTATAAATGTTTCTCAAACCCCTAAATGGGTTATGTTGAAGCAGATTTTTACAAATGCAATAAAAATCCTGTGATTTGCTTTCTGATAAGGAACTAATGCCTTGACCAGAATAATTGAGGGATAAGATTTCCCGGATGAAATTGGAAGTTGATACTACTTTATTTTGTCTCTTATTTAAGGTATTCTGACTAAATATAGTGATAATTCTTTTTTTGTGTTGATTATCTTTAAAACTGAAGTAAATATTGGCATGCTTGAAAAAATAAAAGAGTAAATGTGTGGCCTTTTGAGTTGGAGGCAGCGTCTGTGGGTACTGATGGTGTTGTGCCTGCTCTCTCTCCTCGGCTTTTACCCATGGGATCACTGCAAGTGGGTGTGGGGAGCAGGGGCTGACGTAGGGCCCAAGAACACTGGTCAAGGATGAGGATCGGGCATGTCAGGTGACTTGCTGGGCTGTCAGAACTACCATGAAACGAGAGGGAGATGTTCGTGGTGCTGGTCCCGACTCAGAGTATATTGCTGTGTTATTGCAGGGAAAGTATTTATAGGTTGCTGCCTCAGACCACCCCTGAGAATGTGAGTAAGAACTTCAGCCAGTACAGTATCGACCCAGTCACTCGGTATCCCAATATCAACGTCAACTTCCTCCGGCCAAGCCAGGTGAGACCTTCTTGTCAGCATTTACTTCTGGGCCCATCTACAGGACTGATGAGAATGCTGATGTATTGAGATGTGTGCACCTATTAATACCACACATATAAGGATGCTTTTTTAGTAATCCAGATAGATGTCTCTCTGAATTGGTAGAAGTAGATACTATTTTGCATTAACAGATTGAGAGCTAAGGCATAGAGTTGTTAAATGACTTAAGAGAAAATCAAACGTGATAAGAATCCAGGCCTTCATGCCACGTTTCCTAATTCAAATTCTTATTGTAGGAAAGAGCACTTGCCCCATAGTGAGGAGAGGTAACTTCCAACTGTGTTGTTGCTGCCAATCACCTGTGACTTACATTCTCTGAGCCTCAATTTCTTTACCTGAAAAATGGGAATAATAATCCCTGACTACTCAAAGAATTATTGTGAGGACAAAAGAGTTTGTTCACTTGAAAGAATTTGTTCTAGTGTAATTCTTTTTTTTTTTGAGACTCTCGCTCTGTCACCCAGGTTGGAGTGAGGTGGCGCGATCTTGGCTCACTGCAGCCTCTGCCTCCTGGGTTCAAGCAGTTCTCCTGCCTCAGCCTCCCGAGTAACTGGGATTACAGACACCCACCACCACACCCGGCTAATTTTTGTATTTTTAGTAGAGACGGGGTTTCACTGTGTTGGTCAGGCTGGTCTTGAACTCCTGACCTCGTGATCTGCCCACCGCACCCAGCCCCTGGTGTAATTTTCTGTTCACCTTCTAATTGAAGTTTCCACCTTTAGGCCTCCTGTTAGAGGCAGCGTCATTAGTCCAACCGAGACTCTTAGAGGGAGCCTTCTGTTAAGTGGCAGCATCCGTCATTAGTCCAACCAAGACTCTTTGAGGGACCTCCATGGCCGAGTAACTCATTTTTTTCTCTCTTTTTTTTAAAGACAGGGTCTTGCTTTGTTGCCCAGGCTCTCTGGGTGTGGTGGCACTATCTTGGCTCACTGAAGCTTTGACTTCCTGGTCTCAAGTGATCCTCCTACCTCAGCCTCCCAAGTAGCTGGGACTACAGCTAATTTTTAAGTTTTTTGTAGAGACGAGGCCTCCCTGTGTTTCCCAGACTGGTCTCAAACTCCTGGCCTTAAGCAATCTGCTGTCCTCGGCCTCCCCAAGTGTAGGGATTATAGGCGTGAGCCACTGCACCCGCCCTGTGTAGCTGATTTGTAGCACAAAGTGCCATAGTTAAAATGTATTTGTTTTTCTTCAACCCCACCTTATTTCATAAAGGATTTAAAGGTCATCATCCTAGCTTCTGTCTGGACTTTGCCCAGCCTGCTATCCCAGACTTTCCTTTCAGCCATTCTTCTCTTAGGTAGGAATTTGCTGCTTGATATTTGATTTTCCTTCTGTTTGACTTTGTAAATTTCTGCCAGGTGCGCCATTTATATGATACTGGCGAAACAAAAGATATTCACCTGGAAATGGAGAGCCTGGTGAATTCCCGAACCACCCCCAAATTGACTCGCAATGGTGAGTTCTGGCGGTGGCTTTTTAAGATGCAGGCAGCCCCTTCAGAGAAGTCTGTACTCATTCACTGAGCCATAAGGTGCGGTCCGAGGCCGTGGCTGAAGCACTGTCTGAGACAGTGGCTGTCAACCAGGGGTGATTTTGCCCTCCAGGGGATACTTGGTAGTTGTGTGGGGACATTTTTGATTGTCATGATTGGGAGTGGGTACTCCTGACGTCGAGTGGGCAGGAGCCAGGGAGTGGGCAGGAGCCAAGGATGTTGCTAAACATCCTGCAATGCACAAGACAGGTCTCCATCACACAGAATTACCTTGGCCTGAGGTGTTATGAGAGCATAGAGAGAAACCAGATACAGATGCTGGGCAGAGGGGAGAGAGGAGAGAGTGTCAGAGCTAAGGTTTTGGGGGAAGACTTTGTGGAAGAAGTCTTTGGCTGGGTCCTGCAACATTGCCAGGTTTCAGTGACAGGTGAGGACCACTCCAGATTTTGTACGTATTGAAGGCCCTGAAGAGTTTTTTGGAAGAGAGTGACATGAGCACACCTGGTCAGCCACATGTGAGAGGGGATGGAGGAGGGAAGTGCCAGAGGCAGGGAGACCAGGTCGAAAAACATAGCCATGGTCAGGCTGAAGGTGGTGAAGGCCCAGATCTGGCCCTGATGCTGAGGATGAAGAAGAGAGGAGGTAGTGGAGGAGACCTCAGACTTTGGGCCAGATGCAGCTGAGTCCTGGGCCAAGCTTTGACATTGGTGAATTGTGCGGCCTCGAAGAGGTGATTGAAGAGCTCTGAACTTCGGTTTCCCTGTCTGTGACATGGGGGCAGCAGTGTCTACCTCACATTGTGATCATGAGCGCCAGGCCTCCGGTGGATGGTCATTCCCATTGTTCGTTATGTGAGAGAGAATGGTAAGGAGGTGAAATCGATGGGCAGGGCCAGCTAATCGCCTTGTGGGGCAAGAGGTGTTTGTAGATGGTGCTACATCAGTGTAGACAAGGCAGAGGGAGGGCTGAGAGGGTTGAGTCATTTGGACATTGTGAATTTGATGTGCCATTGGAATGCCAGGGTGGATGTGAGGACCAGCAGGCAGTCGGAAACATTTGCATTTTTCTCCCCTGGAGCGTCTTCTCTTTGAAAGCAGAGAGTGTATCTTTATTCACTGTTTTTATTTTAGAGCCTGGAATACTGAAGTTGCCTGTTACATATTGGATGGTTGGATATACACATAGGAGACAGATCTGAGTAAAAGCTCATTTCTGAGCCAAGAGATGGCACCAGAAAGTGGTTTTATGTGTTATTGCAGAATACATTTTCGCGGTGAAAAACCTAAATGAAACAGGATTTTCATGATACTTGGCTTTTGTCTTGTGTTCACAGATTACTAAATGACTTAGTGCAAACTTCAGTTGCCCTCGGTGAGGGAACAGACTTTCTTGGATATAAATAGTTCGTAGATTCTCCTGAATGGCCCGTATCAGAGCTCTTCTGATGTGATTAATAATAGGATTTTTAAAGAGGCTGTTCAGGTTTTAGAAGACGTTTCAATGAACTGTAAAAAGCATCCCAGCACATGTGTTTGCCTATTCAGTTTTTCAGGGTTGAGAATTCGTAGTACGAGGTGCCAGGCTCCGTTCGGGGACTGTCTGATCTGGGGCCCCAGTGTTGTCAGCAGAACCCTGCAGGGCTTCTTCTCTTGGCAAGTTATACAGTGCCTTGAAAGTGCAGGGGCAGGGCCTGGTGCTTTGGGTTGAATGTGCCACCCTGTAGGATGGAGCCTTTTCTCCTCTCCTTTCCCCAGTGCTGCTTTGAAGGGGGAAGGCTTCCTCAGCCAGGTGCCGGCGACTACCTGAGAACTCAGAGCTACTGCAAGCCAGGCTGGCCACACAGTAGGTGGCGCTCCTCCACCTCAGTGCCGCAGGGACAGCGGGCTGCGGCTGTCAGGCTGTGGTCCCTCAGGATGCTGGGGGGTGGCATTGACCTTAGAGTCTGGATAAACTAGTAGTTTCTTTTCTTAGAATTCACTGTCATGATACCATTTGCATAACCTTGTTCCTCACTGTTTTCTTTGATTGGAAACTAGAGTTGACTGTTTTGTCCCTACCCTCAGTAATTTTTCAAAGTGGACGTGTGTCCTGCAAAGAGGATTCTCTGTCAGTGTTACCAGGTGACCACACCTCCAAGAATAATGTGTTTTGTTGTTTTAGAGTCTGTAGCTCGTTCAAGCAAACTGCTGGGTTGGTGCCAGAGGCAGACAGATGGCTATGCAGGGGTAAACGTGACAGATCTCACCATGTCTTGGAAAAGTGGCTTGGCCCTTTGTGCAATTATTCATAGATACCGCCCGGACTTGATGTAAGTTGTGATCAAACTTTATGTTTTTTTAATATTCCCCAAGGATCTCAGACCACTCTGTTATCAAGTAATATTTTGTCCTTTTTCCTAGAATGAGGTTCATAGTATACTTTCTCTAGAAGGCAGTGATTTTGATTTCACTGTATTTGAAACTCTGTATGTCATGTATTATATAGCTCAACCCAGGAATGATTTTTATTTTTATTTTTTTCCAATAAGTCTTTTGCACTCCTATAGCTGAGTTTTAAAAATCACAACACTGATAAGTCAAAAACTGGTTTTGATACCCACCTGGGCCTGTTAGCTTCACACAGAGGAAAACTCTGTTTATTGACCCCGATTGAACTCTTCGTTTCGGCCAGCTATCTCTCAAAATCTTTTTTTTTTTTTTTTTTTGATACGAGGAGTCTCGCTTTGTCCCCCCAGCTGGAGTGCCGTGGCGCCATCTCAGCTCACTTCAAGCTCCACCTCCCGGGTTTACGCCATTCTCCTGCTTCAGCCTCTGGAGTAGCTGAGACTACAGGCGCCCGCCACCACGCCCGGCTAATTTTTTGTATTTTTAGTAGAGACGGGGTTTCACCATGTTAGCCAGGATGGTCTCGATCTCCTGACCTCATGATCCACCCACCTCGGCCTCCCAAAGTGCTGGGATTACAGGCATGAGCCACCGCGCCCGACCTAGCTATCTCTCAAGTTCTGTGGGTCACAGGGGAAACCTGGCTAGAACATTTGGCCAGCTCAAGGCAAATGTGTCACTACTAACAAAGCAAAACATCATGAACACTTAACCAATGCATGATGGTTCATAGGTATTTTCTCTGTGTTAAAGACTGCATTTTTTACAGACATATTCTGTTGTCCTACCCACCTATCCCAGTGACATCTCCTTTGGCCATTCTCCACTCACCTGTCTACAGAATCAGCACTCTGGGGTGACCCCAGGTCAGCTGTGGGGGCCAGCACACTCAGGTTCCCCCATTGGCATTTGTTACCACGGAAGCCAGACAGAAGGATTCAGAAGCAGAGCATGTTGCGTTATTTTGGTTTCCTGTCCTTTCCATCATGAGGTCCACTTAAGAGGCCAATTTCTGTTTGTTTTGTTTAATGATTGCTTAAAGAATCCTGCAAGATATAGTTGCTATTTATATGATGGTTATAAACTGACGAGGCAAGAGCTGGTAAAAATAGCCTTGTGCAGTGTGGATTACCAATGGGGATTTCTGGTGTGCTTGGATGGAGGTAAGTGACCTCTGCTGCTCCTGTCACTTAGCTCACCCAGAAGATGATAACAAGTAAGTAAGAACAGGGCTTATTCACTCCCACCAAAGAAAGGGGGTGGGGCAAGGAAGAGCAGCTTGGGAAAGATTGTAGTCAGTGGCAGAGGATGGGCAGATGAGTCAGCTGTGTTCCGAATGGAACAGGCAGAAGTGGTTGAGGGAGCCTAGCAGGTGGGGGTGGAGGGGCACCGGGCGAAGGTTAGGGGACCGTCTTCTGGGAAGGCAAAGCAGCACAGAGACAGCGCGACACTGTTCAGCAGCAGTGGGGTCATAGTTTCAGGGGCTGAACCTACAGTGAGGGGGAGTTTGAGAAAGTGGAAAATGCTGTGGGGTCCTAGGTTAACACAGAATAAGGGCTGCTGGGTTAGCCTGAAGTCATGTAAGGAAGAATGCGATCAGTCTTCTGAAAAGCAAGAGTCTTAAACCCAGTAGGAAATGGCCATTAATCTAAATAGGAAATTTAGCAATGGAAACATTTTTTGAGGAGGATTTTGGAATTTCCCCTCCAGGAGAAGGCTAAGATTCATCAGAGCTGATTTAGTACCTTAACAGCTCGTCGGGTCTAAGGGCCATGGTGGGTGACAGTCCCGGGCCTGTAGGGGTAATCTGATTCAAATAGGAGATGTATCGTGTTTTCACATTAGTTTAACATGGATGGGCCATGTGCAAGGATCAAGATATGTTAAAGATAAGATAGTTCCTATTATTTTTTATTTTTATTTTTAGAGACAGGGTCCCCCACCCTATTTCTCGGGATAGAGGGCAGTGGCACAGTCATAGCTCATTGCAACCTTGAACTTGCAGGCTCAAGTGATTCTCCTGCCTCAGCCTCCCACATAGCTAGGACTATAGGTACATGCCGCCATGCCTAGCTAATTTTTAATTTGAATTAAATTTTTAATTTAAATTGAGCTCCGGGGCTCAAGCAATTCTGCTGCCTCACCCTTCCAAAGTGTTGGGATCACAGGTATGAACCACTGTGCCCAGCCAGTTCCTATTCTCAAGCTCACATTTTAGTGGTAAATTTGTGTTACCAGAAAAATGAGAGTAGTTTTTCGACTTTTTCCCTTTTTTTTTTCTTTGGTGGGTAAACCTTTCATCACTTCCTGAGGTTACTTTGCTTTTCCTTAGTAAAAAGAAAAAGAACAAGAGGTGAGATAAAACAGGTTTGTTCTCAGGTGTCCACGATGCCCAGCACCCTGGATTTTAGCTGAAAACAGAGAAAGGACGATGACTCCAGGATACCGTGTTTCTGTTTAAGGACAGTCAACCTATCTTGATACGTTTTCCTTGTCCTGTTTCTCAGAGATTTTGATTCTTTGGATGAGCAAAATGTGGAGAAGAATAACCAACTGGCCTTTGACATTGCTGAGAAGGAGTTGGGCATTTCTCCCATCATGACAGGCAAAGAAATGGCCTCCGTGGGGGAGCCCGATAAGCTTTCCATGGTGATGTACCTGACTCAGTTCTACGAGATGTTTAAGGACTCCCTCCCCTCTAGCGGTAAGGCCCGGGAGGAGCTGCTGCACCGCCCCCGCTGCTGTGCTGTGGCCCGGCTGTTCCTTCCTTCCTCTCGACTGTCCCGCAGCAGTGCCACCAAACACAAAGTCATTCTGTGTTCTTACCAGTTAGCTGTCAGGGAAATCTCTGGAGCTTTGCTTCATTATTTTTCCCTTCTCTAGTAGTATGTTCTCAACCCCTCATTCTTTCCCAAATCTTTCTCGCTGCATTTATAAAAATGCAGAAATCGTTCCTGTACCAAGTCTTTTTCTATGACTCCACCACCTTCTAGTGCTCGCGCTCTCAGAGCCAGCCTTTTTGAAGAAGTGGTTTGTGCTTGTGACCTCTGCTTCTGCACGGCCCAAACTTCGTAACGCGTTATAATCCGGCTTCTCCTCACACTGCGCTACCGCAGCTGTTCCCCAGTGAGGAGGATTCCTACCTCCTAACTCTTTTCTCAGTTCCTGTCTCTCACGCACTTGCTTTTCTGCATTGTTGGGCGCCGGAGAACGATATCCCTTTTCTTGGAATTCTCTCGTCTCCTCCATGTCTGTGATCCTGAACCACACTTGTCCCCCTTCTTTCTCCTGTCACTGTGCCTTCTCTGGCTTCTTTCTACTCCTACCTCTTAGCACTTCCCAAAAGTCTTTGCTTGGCCCTCAGCTTGCTGCCTCAGACTCTCATAGTGCTACAAAAAATATTCCTGTTGTCATTAATTGTCACTTAAAGTAAGTGTAGCATGAGGCTAGAGTGTTGGCTGTGGGGTCTGACCTGGATTTACAGTATCCCAGGCTTCCACTCCTGGCCTTAGGCAAGTTACTAAATTTTCCTGTGTCTCGCTTTCTGTCAACCTGTCTTGTAAAATGGGATAATGGGTGTAAAATGGGATAATGGGTGTAAAATGGGGATAATATGTATAATTACATTGTGCTGTGCCAAGAAGGATGTTCAGCCAGTGGAAGTACTTAATAAATGTTAGTGATTTACTATGAATTAATGACTATTTTAAAAATTACTGTTGTTATTAATGAAACATTGAAATCCAAAAAACTTGTGTTACCACCTTCCAGTACTTTCCAGCCCATGTATTCTTGTAGGGATCGGTGGCTTTTCCTGGTTAGCCATGCCATTCTTACAACAGAAAGCCACAGCTCTAACACTGATGTACCCATTCAGTGCCACCCCTGTCTGTGTGCAGCTCAGATCGTGGCATCTGCATACACTAAAACCAGGAACCCTGAGTTCATCGCCTCTCTGCTTTTCTCTCTCCCTCCCTGTCTGTCCCAAAATTTTTATCACAAAAACGAGCCTTCAGCACTCTGCTGTAACTAACAATCACAGCCAGCTTCCAACTTCTGAAAAGCAAAAGTGCAGGTTTTGGTAACTGAAGTAGATTGGGAAGAAGAGTCATTTTTGTTGATGTGGATGAAAAAAAGAAGGCTCAGTGTCCATACCCAAGTATGCATTTCCTCCGTGGAGTTTCCTGCTGAGGCCACGTGTTGTCATAGCTGGTGAACCTTTAGAACTTTCTGAGGCTCTGCGAACCATCCATAAGGGAGAGTAGTTTTGGTCGGGATTTTGCGGTGCCCTCAAGGGCTGTGCTTGAACATCACTGGTTTCTGTTCCCAGACACCTTGGACCTAAATGCGGAGGAGAAAGCAGTCCTGATAGCCAGCACCAGATCCCCTATCTCCTTCCTAAGCAAACTTGGCCAGACCATCTCTCGGAAGCGTTCTCCCAAGGTATGTGGAGGAGTCTCTCGACCGGCTGCAAAGCTAATGGCAAGGTATGTGTGGCTAGAATAATGCAGTTTCCCTTCTCCCTTGGTACAGGATAAAAAGGAAAAGGACTTGGATGGTGCTGGGAAGAGGAGAAAGACCAGTCAATCAGAGGAGGTGAGATTCACTTGGGGAATTGCTAGAATGGTCATGTGGAATAGCCCTTTTTGGTTAAAATCCTTCATTTCCACAATGGTATTGCCAGGTCTTTTCCTATTCATCCTTTATGAGAATTTCTGCTGGGCTTTTTCTTTTCTTTTTTCCTTTTTTTTTTTTTTTTTTGAGACAGAGTCTTGCTTGTTGCCCAGGCTGGAGTATAGTGGCGTGATCTGGGCTCACTGCAACCTCCGCTTCCTGGGTTTGGGCTCCTGCCTCAGCCTCCCAAGTAGCTGGGATTACAAGTATGTGCCACCACACCCAGCTAATTTTTGTAAATTATTTATTTATTTATTTATTTATTTTGAGACAGTTTGGCTCTATTACCTAGGCTGGAGTGCAGTGGTGCAATCTCGGCTCTCTGCAGCCTCCACCTCCAGTGTTCAAGCGATTCTCATGCCTCAGCCTCCCAAGTAGCTGGGATTATAGGTGTGTACCACCATGTCCTGCTAATTTTTGTATTTTTAGTAGAGATGGGGTTTCACCATGCTAACCAGGCTGGTCTCAAACTCCTGACCTCAAGTGATCCGCCCACCTCGGCCTCCCAAAGTGCTGGGATTACAGGCCTGAGCCACCGCGCCTGGCCAGGTCCCAGTACTCTTTATATGGCCCTAGCTTCAGACTTGCTGTCCCCTTGTGGACATGGGAGCTTTGAGAGCTGAGCCAGACCACCAGCCCCCATGCCAGGTCCTGAGCGCACTTCTGTGAGGGAGGGACATGGGGGGAGCCTCCTGTCACAGCGCCGGGTTCTTTGGGGTTGGTATTGATCAGGAGGAAGCTCCCCGGGGCCATAGAGGAGAAAGACCGACCCTGGTGAGCACTCTGACAGACAGGAGGATGGACGTTGCCGTTGGGAACCAGAACAAAGTGAAGTACATGGCAACCCAGCTGCTGGCCAAATTTGAAGAGAACGCACCCGCACAGTCGGTCGGCACACGGAGACAGGTAAACCCAACCCGTGCCTCGCCCACACTGATGTGGTCAGGCCACACAAGAAGAGGGGATCTTTTCTGTCCATTGAGATGGGCTGTGTCACAGACCCTGGGGTTCATGGGCTCAAGACGGGCGTCTGGCTTTCCCTCGCCTGACTGCAGCAGAGAAGAGCCCTTTATCTGCTTGCTTCAGGCTCTGAGGGTCGCTCTGTCCTCAGCATTCCGACCTGGGTTGTCCCCTGACAAGAATCAGCAGAGGGATCTAAAAAAATCTGTATTCATATACCTGTACATCTGTGCACGTTTGCAGATATATTTAAATTTAGAGAAGTACACACTTACTGAGGAACATGCTGAGAAGTACAGTAAAGGTAATGAAGCCACCTGTGATTCTATTAATTAATATCTTCCTGCCCTTCTTTCTGGTCTTTTTTTTCAGTGTATTCTTGTTTTTGTAGATAAGGTCATTCTTAACATATACTTGTCGATTCTCCTTTTTTCATTTCACCTTAGGCATTCCCATGTTGTCCCTGACTCTACAAGCACCTTCTAGAATGTGTGGGCATCAGGCTTCTCTTAGCTATTGCTCTAGTGTTGGATGTTCAGGTTATTTCTCATCTTTCATGATAAGATACAGAGATAAACGTTCTTATGATAAACCTTCTTTTGTGTGTTGCAGCAGTTTCCCGGGATATTTTCCTAGGACTATGAGCATTGAGTGCTAAGTGGCACTCCCACACACCATGCATGAGAGTGCATGGCAGCAGCTTGTGGCTTGGGGTGTCTTTGTTAGGGTGTGTCTCTCCCCTTGCTTGTCTAAAAGTCACTCTGACTTCTTACAAGAGGTGGGCCTGGGATTTTGGAGATTCACACTGCAAGTGTCTCATAAATCTCCATGATAACTGGAGAGAGCAGCCGGAGGGCAGCGGCGCCTTCTCTGAATTTCCCTTCACTCTCTTCGTCTTCTCCATGCCCATCAGCCATTCTTCCTATGGACCAGATGGGTGGGAGCAGCTTTGCTTGCAGTCTGGCCGTAATTAACTACCTGCCACATCTAGTCTTTGCACGCCAGTCTTTTCATGCTGTGGCTCACAGAAAAGGTGATGATATTCACTGATAAACAGTTGAGGTTGTCTGGAGGCTCTGGCAGCCCCAGGTTCCCCTGCCTTGCTTGGGAAGGCTGGAATGCTGCCCGTTAGAGGAAGGTTGCCTCTAAGAGAAGGTTGCTTTCCTCATTTTGGATGGGAATATTAGTTTTCCAAATCAGAATTAGTGGTTTCGACTCAGAGAACATTTAGCTTGGAAAAGAGATGATGCGTATTACAGCTTCTGTTTTCCTTTTTCTGTTCTTTTGCATTTGCTTTTGGTTTGGGGGAGGCTGTTTGCTTTGCTTTAGAAGTGTAACTTTCTAAGAATGAATCCTCCCTCTTCCCCATGGTTCACAGGTGTGGGGCTGTCCCCTGTGAGTTCTTTCTGTTCTTCTCCCACCTTAATGTACTTTTATTTTGTTTTGTCTCCATGTCCTGTCCCCACCCACACTTGGCCTGTGTGTCCCCAGCTGACACAAGAGCGTGGGGCCAGCCAGCCGTCCAGCTGCCTGCCCGGGCAGGTTCGCCCTGCCCCCACCCCGCAGTGGAAACAGGTAAAGGAACTGCCAGGGCCAGGATGGGTGCTGTCTCTCCAGGCCTTCCCGCCCCTCCTCCTGAGCCAGGGTTCAGGCCTGTGCTCTGGAATCCTAGCTCATGAGGGCCGGAAGTCTCCGCTCATTCGAGTAGTAGCTTTGGGAAAACATTGAACAGGCAGGGCTGATTGATTGCACGATTTCTGTAACTCCTGGGGATTTGAGAAAGAGTTAACAGGGAGACTGTTGATTTGGTTTGAAACTTGCTGAAGCGGTGTGGTAGGCGGCTCACCTAGGGGTACCCGAGCTCTTGGGTTTGCTGTTGTCCATTTGTCTCAAGCTGACTTTTTTCCAGCATGTCTCCTCGTGACCCTGGGAGAGAGAATTCTGAGTATGTCAAGCCTGAGAGTTGGGGCGTGGAGCCTTTTAAATGGGAAAATGTTATCCAGGAAAATAGTGTGGAACTGTGAGTTTGTGTTTGTTTTAAATCCTGGATGAAAGTATTCCTGGATGTTTTATTGGTGTTCTCTCTACATTTAAATGAATGTTTTTGGAAATTTTCACTAAAACCTCGGCAGGATCTCCCGGAAAACTGCGTATCCTAAGTGGTACAGAATAGGGCAGGTGATGGCATGCACTTTCTAAGAAAAAACCCAGCAGAGGAATTGGGAGCCCTGACTGTGGCTCCTCCATGTCACAGATGAGCAAGTCCCTGCTCTCGAGTGGAGCCAGGGTTGGCTGCCTTGTAGTCTGATATCATTTAGGTCTGCTGAGATGCCGAGAGGGCCGTGAGCTGGTCCTGGATGCCGTCAGCGCCTTCCGTAGTCGGTCTCCCCAGCCTCCTGTGCTGTAAAGTGACTTTATGGTCAGGAGATGCTGAGGGGTGGTGAGTTGGGTTTTATTTAAGTTACTTACATTCCGGCAAAAACGTTCCTTTCTAACCGTTCTTTTGTAACATAGCACATTAAAGACAGGGCCCAAAAGGCCGAGATGGAATTTTGGGAGCAGTGTCCAAACTCACAACAGAAGACAAATTCACCCTTTCTCTGTGTATGAGGGAAGTCTTCTGAAAAATCTAGTTGGAAATTTACTTGCATTTTATTTTCTTAACCTTGGCCTTGATGTCTCGGTGGAAGATATGATTTGAAAGATGATGTTTAGTTGAGGATCTGTTGAAGGGGAAAGTGAACTCTAAATTGGATTCCAAAACCTCTTACAGTATCCATAACAGGCGCCTGAGGTGGGAGGAGCAGAGGGAGAGGGAGATGAGGAGTAACGCAGGCAAGTGGGGGAACGGGTGGCTGTGGCTGGAATGGTGCTGAGGGGCCGCTGGAAGCATGCTCCCTGGAGAATGTTGGTAGTCCCTGCCAGTGCAACTTGTCACCTGAGTCAGTATGGTCGTGGCGGAGTAGGAGACTGGCAGGCTGTATGGGCAGTGGAATAGAACCATGAAAGTCAAACGCAGGTTCTGTGGGATGGGCACCAGATTACAGTTGGAGACAGTAGCTGGGCAGATGTATAAATGAGACTTGATTGGTGAGAAATTGTTAGCGGTGAGAACCCCGTTAGGTTCTTTGGTACCTTAGGGGATATCCAGTAGGGATCTGCGAATTTACCAGGTGGCAGGGAAGTAGCACTGTGAACCAAAACTCACAGTTCTTATGTCCGTGTGAAATGTATAGTATTCACATAGAACTTTCTCAGCTCTAAATCATGAATTTGGGCCTTCTAAATTTATCTCCTGAAAGAGTTGGAGTTGCAGTGTCAGATACTTGCAGAAACCTGGGACAGAGGAACCCCAGTGGTACCCGGGCCCTGCGTCTGATGCCTCCCATGGCTGGCCCTCCACATCTCCCTTCAGGAAGCGGGGCTGACTGGCAACACCCCATTGTGACTCATAGTGCTTCTCTGGAGGTGGTTCAGAGGCAGGAGGGCATTGCCTGGCAGGGCAGTGATAGCTGAGTTGACAGAAGGGTCACCTTCAGCCTAGGTCATCGTATGGAAGAGGGAAAATAATAGCAGCTCAGCCTGCCAGTGGCTTCCCTTCATTTCCTTCCTTTGTAAACGCTGTGGCTCTTCCATTCCCCATCCTTTTGCCTTTTGATCTCAGAAACACATCCTGAAGGCAAGCTCTGTGCGATAACCAGCCCTAGTTTGGAAGTAGATTGTCATGGGAGCTCTGAGCGAGTACGGGGCTGTTTCCCCAGGCCTCGTGGCTTCCCTGCTCTCCCGCTCCCTGCATGCTGCCCTGGGCACAGGGAGATGAGAGTTTCCCTGGAAGATATCAGAGAAGCCTGGGAATGTGTGATTGTTTCTCAAATACCAGGGACTTTGGGGCTTTGTAAATTGTAGACAGACTCTCGAAGAGAATATGGTGGAGGGGGCAGAATGAGAGAAAAGCCAGGGACGTGTATATGGCATTTGAATGTTAGTGAGACACCTTTAATTTTGACATAATGCTCCTGCCTTTCTTGCATTTCCTTGTTAGTTTCCTGAAGCCCTTTGATTGCAGGGACTGAGGGGAGGGCAGCAGTGCCAGCCACTGTCACAGCTGTGCCCTGAAGAGGCTGCTGCTTCGCTGTATTGGATGCACATGACCAAGCCCTTGAGAGGGGGTCTCTGTGTCCCCTCTTGGCGGTTGGCCTGTTTGCCCTTTCTCTCTACTCATCAGCAAGCCTATTTCTTATATCCCCAGCTTCCCTGAGAAAACTGTTGTTCCCTGGCACCTGGAAGGTGCTGCGCTGCTGGTTCTCCCCAGTCCCTCAGATCACCTCTGTGGCTGTGCCCAGCAGAGGGTGCACATCCCACCTGGGGGCCCACGGGAGACCACTGGGCTGCCCTCTGAGGATGAAGGGGCAAGGAAAGGCCTCCCTGGGGTGCTTCTGACAAACGCCCTTCAGTCCTCCCAGAACCAGCCTCCACGTGGCCACTGTTTGAATAATGTTCTCTCTGTTTGTGTCTGTTGGTGTAAAAGCAACGGGAAAAGGAGTGTTCTCGGACCTGCCCCAAAAAAGTGATCACCCTGTCTCCTCCCCCTACTCCACCTCCCTGTCGGGCGCATGGCAGCCAGCAGGTGATCCTCTCTGCATGCTCTGTGGTCCTGTCTCTGTCTCCCTGCCTGTCTGTGTAGGTGGCTAGTGTAGAGACCAAGTCAGTTTCCCTCTTCTCAGCAGTAACTGTCAAGAAGAAAGGCCATGCGTAGAAACCATTTATGGTGGAAGCAACTTTTATGGCCCTCAGGATGGTGCATCCTGCATTCACACCTGACCCTGGTCAGTCCCACCCACACCATGGAAACATGACTGTCCCACCATGAACTAGAAGTTCAGCTGTAACTGATGTTTGTCACGCATCCGAGGCCCAGAAACCCTAAGAGCAGCCTGTTTTTCTGA